CCTACCTCCTTCCCTCCCAGCGACAGGAGGAAGAAGAGCAGTGGTGGGAGGCAGAGTGGGCAGCCCAGCGCCAGGCAGCAGCCAGGGAGGGGCTGGCCTTGGAGGAGTTAGAGAGCCGTATCCGGCGGGGATTGCGCAGGGCGTTAGACTGCTTCAACCGACAGCTGGCTGAGGAGCAGAGGGCCCAGTAAGTAATAGACAGCAGGAAGGGCTGAAGCAGGGAGGGGATGGCACCCAGGAGGGAGCAGAGCCAGGACAAACGAATGAGAACTGAGGGGTCAGGACACTGAGTGGGCAGGACTGGGAGAGAGCAGAACAGAAGCAGGGGCAAGCCAAAGGAATGATAGTTAAGGAGATGGAGCCAGGGGAAGGAATGGGGCAGGCGAGGCCCAAGAGGAGATGGGGCCTAGAAGTGGATACGAGCCAGAAAAGAAGGTGGGGCCTTGACACCTTAATGCCAAAGCAGGGACTGGAGCCAGGAAAGCAAGTGGAGCATTGAGGGGGGATAAAGTCTGGGAGTAGGTAGAGCCAGAAGGGGGTGGGGCATGGGGAGGAAATGGGGTCAAGTGAGTAGGGCCTTGGGTGTGGGGCTTACCTAGGGGAGGGGGCAGCATTAGGGGCAGAGCTAAAGCAGGGCAGGGCCAGGATAAGGCTGCTCTGAGTGGGTGTGGTCAGGTGGGGTCCAGCCCCCTGGGGGGCACAAGACTCTCATCTGTCTCCCATCCTCTCCATAGACAGCAGCACCTGAATCGTGACATCTACACCAGCATGCCCATAGTCCAGTATCACCTCCAGTTCAGCACCAGCAGCCGGTAGGGGGCCCCACCCTGTCCCAGAGACCCCCACCCCAGGTGGGGGGAACCAATAAAAGACATTCCCACAGCCAACTCTACCTCTACCTGGTGCATAGGGTGAAGGGAGAGCCTGGATGCCTGGGTTTTCTTTAGGGATTAAGGTGGCATCCTGGACACCTGGATTCTCTGGGGAGGTAGAACACTTGGCTTCTCTTGGGGGATGGAGAGCACCCCAGATGCCTAGGTTCAGTCTCCCCAGCTCTGAGAAGGGAGCAAGGCCTGCTGGCTGGCAGGTAGGATAGGAAGTCCAGATGCCTAGCATCTCACAGGGGGGGGTTGGAAACCCTTGTTGAGCTGAGGTTCAGTCCTTTATTCATCCCCTGCCTGGGGGTAGGGCCAGGGCCAGCTCAGGGCTGCATGCGGAGGGCACCATCGAGCCGCACAACCTCGCCATTAAGCATGGGGTTCTCCACGACACTCTGTACCAGGTGGGCAAACTCAGACGGGTGACCCAAGCGTGAGGGAAAGGGCACCTGGCGTGCCAAGAAACTCTGCACCTTCTCTGGCAGTTCACCCAGTAACGGCGTCGCAAACAGCCCTGGGGGAGCCAGGGGAGACAGGTTAATAGCACCCTGCCAGTGCCACTCACTCCAACCCACAGCCCCGGTCTTTCATGGTGTCCCTCACCCACAACCTGTAGACCCTGCCTCCACTTGCTAGTGCCCCTCACTTCTCCCCAGCTCACAATATGCAGCCCCCCTCCACTGCTTCTCATTCCTGACCTGCAACCCCGCTAGAGCTCCACAGTACCCCTCACTCCCAAGTACAGCCCCCACCTCCTCACTTCTGACCCACAGCCCCCTGTCAGTGTCCTTCACTTCTGACCTGTAGCCCCTCCCCACCCAGTAGCCCTGATTCACAGCCCTGGGTCCCACCTGGGGCAATGGTGATGACACGGATGCCCACGGAGGCCAGGTCTCGGGCAATGGGCAGCGTCATGCCCACGATGCCACCCTTGGAAGCTGAGTAGGCAGCTTGGCCCACCTGCAGGGTAAACAGGGAGAGAGGCCCAAGATGGACCAGCTCTAGGGTGAGGAACAGCCAAATATAAAACACTCCACAGGACCCCACCAAGTAACCCTCCAGCCCAGCCCCTCTCACCCTGCAACCCTGACCTGGCCATCAAAGGCAGCCACACTGGCTGTGTTGACAATGACACCACGGTGTCCATCCTCAGGCTCGTTTCTGATCATCTCACTTACGCTCAGGCGGATCACGTTGAAGGTACCCAGCAGGTTCACCTGGCATAGGCAGCAATGGGTTAACGGGGATAGGATCCCCAGCCCAGCTGACCCCAGACCCCTCCCTCCCCCAGCTAGCCCCAGGCCTCCCTCACTGCTCCCCTAGACCCAACCAGCTCCATATCCCCCCGCTGCCCCCCAGCCTGTTTTTACTGTTCCCACCCAGCCCTGAACCCAGCCAGCCACATATCCCTTGCCCCGCCCAGGTCTACCTGGCCCCATATTAGCCCCCAGACCCTCCTCCATGCCCAGTCAGCCCCATAACTCTCCACCCCCTCACAAATGCGTGGGGGGGGGGGGTAGTCTGCAGGACTGGGAGTGGAGCTAGCCCCACCCCCACTCACCCTAATGACCCTTTCAAAATGGTGCAAGCCATGGGCTTTGTTCATCTTGACATTATAGGTCTTGAGAGCAATACCAATGCCAGCGCAGTTCACGACCACATCAAGGCGCCCAAAGCATTGCCGAGTCAAGGCCAAGGCAGCAAGCACATCCTCCTCTGACGTCACCTGGAGGAGGGTGACAGTATGGGGACCCAGGTGTCTGGGCTAAACCCACTGCCCTGCCCCAACCTGCCAAGCCCCACTCTCCTCCCATTGCTAGGGGGAGAACCCAGGCATCTGGGCTTTCAAAAGCTCCGCTCCCCTCCCCTCCCCAGTGGAGACCTCCCCTCAAGAGCACCCAAGTCTCTACGCTCCACCCCCAGAGAGCCCAGGCTCCTCGCTTCCTCCTCCCACCCCACTCCACCTCAGAACTTAAGTGTCCTAGCTCCATGCTCCCCCCCCCGCCCCCCAAGAACCCAGCTGTTCAGGCTCCCAAAACCCACTCCAAAGCCAGGAATCTGGGCTCCTCTCCTGCTCTAGAAACCCAAGCATCCTAGATCTCAACCTCCCCCTCCACCCCCTGAGAGCCCAGGTCCTCACTCCCTGAGAACCCAGGCATCTAGGCTCCCAAGTCCAGAGCCCAGGCATCCAGGCAGGCTTACATCAGCAGGTGCAAAGGCACAGTGCTTTCCCAGCTCCTTGGCCACAGCTGTCCCCTCTGAGGTTGGCAGGTCCAGGACCACAGCACTGGCACCCTGCTGCACGAGGCGCTCAGCTGTGGCTCGGCCCAGGCCTGAGGCCCCACCTGTGACCAGAGCCACCATCCCCTGGGGTGGGGTGGGAAGCAGAGAGAAGTTTAGCCCTCTCCCCAAGATCATAATGGTTTCTCCCAACCTCCCACCTTGGCCTCCCCCACCTCTGTGCACAATGGTCTCTCTTGGCTGCATCCCTCCTGTGTATATAATGCTCCCTCAGAGGACAACCCTCTTACATGTGCACAATGGCCTCTCTCATGCTGCTCCTGAGGTAAGACGATGGTCTCTTCCTCCCCTTGCCACCACCCCCATTATGGTCAGCTTCATAATGATGTCACCCAGCTGTGCCTTTCCTCCACTCCTGCCCCCAAGTCCATGCACGCGGTGACCCTTTCCCGAGAACAAGTAAGAAATGATCTTGTGCATACCAGGACGCCCTCCCCCACCCCGCTCGGAGTGTATGTTTAACAGTTTCTCCCCCCTCCCCACCCCATCTCAGCTAGGGGAGGGGAGCGCCATGCTATGGCCAAACTCCTCCATTATAGCCAAAGTCGCCCCCCCTTTCCTGGCGGACGCAGTGGTTTCGCCTGGTGCCCTCCACTTTCTCGCTTGAATCGTCCTTGCTCTCCCGTCAGGGTCGCTTCACCTGCCATACTGGTTTCGCCTGTTACCTTCACGCTCCGCATTGCTGTAGCCATCTTGCTCCCTGGCCTTTGAAGCCGCGCCCCCTCGTGCCAGGGCCGACCAATCACGGGAGGCCACAAAGGCGGGGAGACTAGATTAAGCCTTCTGATTTGAATCGTTCCTGCCCTGTTCCCCTCGGGGTCGCTTCACTTGCTGGACTGTTTTTGCCTGTTACCTTCACGCTCCGCATCGCTACAGCCATCTTGCTCCCTGGCCTTTCAAGCCCCGCCCTCTTATGCCACGGCCGACCAATGACGGGAGGCCACTAAAGTCGGGGAGGATGAATCGGGACTGGATTTAAGGGGAAGATGAAACCTTAAAGGGAAAATAAAATCCGGAGGACCTAGTTAAAATCTTAGAAGGGGCGGGGGGGCAGGGCAGCCGGAAGCCTGGGTTCACTCCCTTCTTTGGAAGGGTATGATGGGTCAGAACAGGAGATGGGGCAAAGCATCCGGGGTCCCAAAGCCGACCCCTCCAAGCCTCCAGGCTGCTGGGCTGGGGAATGTGGCGAAGGGATGAAAATGGGGTAGAGCCTTGGCTGCCACAGCGAGGTTTCAGCTGCTAAATATAATGGCTTGAATAAGGAACTGGTTTTTCGTCTGGGATTATGGCTAGAAATTCTGCTTGGGCCACCCATCAGAATACCTCTGCGTGACTGGGGGACTGTCCTGGACATCTGTGACCAGAGACTTGCCCGGTCCAAAATGCAGTTTGGCCGTGCCAGGCTGCCAACCGACAGCATCCAACCCATTGTGCTAAGCATGTGGAACTGGATTATGGGCTGGGATTATACCCAGAAATCCTTCTTGGGCCACCCCAGACCACACCTCAATGCCACCAGGGGTTTGCTTCTGGACATCTCTGACTAGAGACCTGCCCAGCCCAAAGTAAGGTTTGGCCATATCAGGCTGCCAACTCACAACACCCCAGCCACTGTGTGAAGTATATAGGTTTGAATAAGGAACTGGAATTTAGGATGGGATTATGCCCAGAAATCCTTCTTGGGCCACCCCAGACCACACCTCTGTGGCACTGGCAGACTCTCATGGACAACTCTGACCAGAGATTTGCCCGGCCCAAAGCGTGGTTTGGCTGTGCCAGGCTTCCAACTGACAGCACTCAAGCCAGTGTGTTAAATATATGGAACTGAATAAGGAACTGGATTATGGGCTGGGATTATACCTAGAAATCTTTCTTGGGCCACCCCAAACCACACCTTTGTGCCATGCAGAGACACTTCTGGACATCCCTGAATAGAGACTTCCCCGGCCTAAAGCACGGTTTGGCCATGCCAGCCTGCCGACAGACAGCACCTCAGCCACTGTGCTAACTATATGCACCTGAATAAGGAACTGGATTTGGGCTGGGATTATACCCACAAATTCTTCTTGGGCCACCCCAGACCATGTCCTGTGCCACCGGGGGACTCTCCTGGACATGTCTGAATAGAGACTTGCCCGGCCCAAAGCATGGTTTGGCCGTGCCAGGCTGCAGACAGCACCCCAGGCACTATGCTAAGTATATGGAACCAAATAAGGAAATGGATTATGGGATGGGATTATACCCAGAAATCCTTCTTAGGCCACTCCAGACTACACCTCGGTGCCACCAAGGGATGCTTCTGGACATCTCCGAACAGAGACTTGCCCGGCCCAAAGGCTACCAGCTGCTATCTGCACCAGGCTACCAACTGGCACCACCCCCCAGACACTGCTAAATATCTGGACCCTAATCAGGAACTGGCTTTTGGGCTGGGATTATGGCCAGAAAATCTGCTTGGACCACCCATCAGAATACCTCTGCATGACCGGGGGACTCTACCGGATGCATTTTACCAGAGTCTTGCCCAACCCAAAGCGTGGTATGGCCTTGCCAGGCTGTCAACTGACAGCACCCCAGCCACTGAACAAAGTATATGGACTTGGATAAGGAACTGGATTATGGGCTGGGATTATACCCAGAAATCCTTCTTGGCCCACCCCATGTCATGCCTCTGTGGCCTTGGGGGAATGTCCTGGATATCTCTGATGAAATACTTGCCTGGCCCAAAGCACAGTTTGGCTGTGCCAGCCTGCCAACTGACAGCACCCTCTCAGACACTGTGCTAAGTATATGGACTTGAATGAGGAACTGGATTTTGGACTGGGATTATACCTAGAAATCCTCCTTAGGCCACCCCACGCCATGTCTCTGTGACACTAGGGGACTCTGCTGGACATCTGAAACCAGAGACTGGCCCAGCCCAAAGTGCACTTTGGCCATGCCAGACAGCACCCCAGCCACTGTGCTAAGTATATGGTCTTGAATTAGGAATTGGTTGGTGGGCTGGGATTAGAGATAGAAATGCTTCTTGGGCCACCCCATGCCATGATTCTGCAGCACCAGGCCACTCTCCTGGACACCTCTAACCAGAATCTTGCCTGGCCCAAAGCGCAGTTCGGCAGTGCCAGGCTGCCAACTGACAGCCCTGCATTCCCACTGTATGAAATGCATTGACTTGAATAAGGAATTGGCTTTTGGGCTGAGATTATATTTAGAAATCCTTTTTGAGCCACTCCTTGACTTACCTCTGTGCTACCAGGGAACTCTCCTGGACATCTCTGACGAGAGACTTGCCCGGCCTAAAAGGTGGTTTGGCCGTTCCTGGCTGCTATTTGACAAGCCCCCCAGCCACTGTTCCAAGTATAACGGCTCGAATAAGGAACTGTTTTTTGGGCTGGGATTAGAGATGGAAGTCCTTGGTAGGCCACCCCACTTTGGCTCTGTGGCACTGGATGATTCTCCCAGGCATCCCCAACCATAGTACTGTCTGGCCCAAAGCGCAGTGTGGCTTCTGCCACACTGTCAACTCAGAGTACACCTCCCCACCCTGCCCCCAGCAACAGTACTAAGGACAATGGCTTGAACAGGGAACTCTTTTTGGGCTGGAATTAGAAATGGAAATCCTTCTTGGCCACCCCACACTATGACTCTGTGGCACTTGTGGACTCCCCCAGATACCCCTGACCAGTCTTGCTTGGCCCGGAGCGTGGTTTCTTCATGCCATGGTGCTAACTACAGCCCCCATATCCATTAACATAATAAAAGGCTTAGCCTGGCTGTCTCTGTCTGAATGTCTGTCCATAAAGCTTCAAGCCAGCTGCGCATGCACCCCCAGAGAGGGCGGGTGGCACATGCTGCACAGGCCCAAGTTTGCACCATTGCCGGGTAATTTTGGTGGTGGGGAACGTGTCCCAGTCATCTGAGCAGCCGGGCTGCCCGCCATCTTCCCGCCTGAGGGCCAATGGGGTCTCACGGTGGCCACCTGTCCTGGATGCCCCCTAGACAACCAGGAGGGATGGGAAGGGAGGCAGGCAGATGTGGGCCAGGCAGTCCCGAAGTGGCTGTGGCGGGAAGGAAGGGAGCAGGGTTGGACCTGAAGCAGCAGGGAGGGGGTGGGGGACTGAAGTGGGAGGGAGGAGGGGAGTGGAGTTGGACCCAAAATGGGGGGGGATGGGGGTGGCTGGGGGTCAGACTTGAAGCAGTGGGAGGGAGGTGCAGGTAGAGCGAGGTGGGGGAAGGGGGGGCATGGGGCCAGTCACAGGGCTCCGTACCCGCACCCTCCCCCCAACCCCCCGTCATTCTTGACAGGCAATTTGCTGGTAACTAAGCATATTGGCTTGAATAAGGAACTGGGTTGTGGCCTGAGATTATCACTGCAAATCCATTTTGGGCTACCCCACACTATGCCTCTGTGGCACTGGAGGACTCTCCTGGACACCCTTGACCATATTTTTGTCTGGCCCAAAGAACGCTCTGACCATGCCAGGCACCAATTTACTCACCATCTGCATGTGCTATTTACATTGCTACTAATAAGGAGCTGCCCTTCTGCTGGGTTCATAGGGCAAAACCCTCATGGAAACATTCCAGAACATGTCCCCACTACCAAGGAGCCTCCTGAAGAAATCTGGGCATATTCCCCTGCTCAATGCAATGCTTGCTTGAGTGTAAGCCGGCCAGACCTCTGCTCCAACGCGTGGTATTTAGCATGTGTCAGAGCAGACTTGATTAATCGAGTTTGCTGCCAGTCTGCTGAAGTGTGATAATTAGCGCACTCCAGCAGCCTCTGCATCACGTGTATTCACTGTGCCTGTGTTTTAAAATGGAAGCAGCAGTGCTTTAACTAAAGATCTTTGAACTAACACCCCCGCTGCCATTTTGAAGCGCAGGATGCTGAATACATGTGACACTGTGGGGACTCTAATTAGAGTGGCTCTCAGAGCCGTTCTATTAAAAGCACCCTTCTCCCCACCCCAAAGCATGTGTATAGAGACCCCTAGGGATTTTTCAATAGCATTTCAAATTTATGTACAACCACCACCCAGAAACTTAGTAAAATAACTTAAAGCTGGATATTGTTAGTAGGCAGCCTTGCATGGCCAAACTGTGCTCTGGGCCAGGCGGGACTGTGGTCATGGTTCTTTGGAACAGTCCCCCAGTGGCATTGCCACAAAATTTGGGGTAGCCCAAGTTTTGCCCCATAATCCCATCCTAATCTGACTGTTTAGGGCTCTGTATTTGATAAGAGATATTATTTTACATATAATTAGTACATACGCGTAGCTAATGAAATTCGGTCTCTTTAGGATGTGTAATTCATTAACAACAAGTTTTTATTGGGTCTAGATTAGCTTTGAAAAAGGAACCAGGAATAAGGAACCAACTTCAGCCGCATGCTCCATCCAGTAGCCATCTCTGAAGCTGGCACTTGGCCCCACCCCAACACCCCCATGATCCCAGGAGGCACTGCTCCATCCACATCCAGAATCAGATTAAGGTAATTCTAGGAGTGGCTCTAGAACCCCAAACCAGGAACCTAAAACCTGCAGATCACCACAGATACCACGATCTAGAACCTAGGTTTCAGGAAACCGGGAGGTTGGACAGCACAATCCCAGCCTAGAACCTCCAAGGTCTTGGAACCTTCCATAAGCGAGAACACGATCCCAAACCTAGAACCACAGGGAAGGCAGGGTCTAGAACCCACCAGGGACTTGGCATGGTGGGGTTGCTCTAGAACCTGTATAGCTCTATGCCCAGCTGGTCATACCTGTTCATTCCCCTCTCTGACCACCTGTCATTGTGCTCTAGAACAGTCATGGCTCTAGAATGCCACACGGACACAGATCCAGGTCCCCCCCCCCCCCCCAAAACTTCACTGGGTGAGAGGGCTGGGGCCAGCAGGGGGCAGGGCTCTCTCGTCATCATCGTCATGGTGCCCCACATAATGGCAGATGGTGTTATAGTCAAGGGTGACAACCCCGACATCTGGGAGCTGCACCAGTGCCTGGCCGTGGGCACCATCCCGCTGCAGGATATAGCCAACCTGTATTGGCGAAGTGGGAAGAGCATGATTTGCAGAGCATTCTAAGAAAGGAGGAGCCCACAAGCCCCTCTGTCAAAGCCAGGCTCACACCCCTCCGCCCACCAGTCACTCACCCTCCCAGCCTGATTCCCCAGCACCACCATGATGCGGTCGCTGACACCACGGGGGATCACTGTCTCCAAGGTTGCTGCCCGAAGCCCTGTGGGGGGGTGGGGGTGTTGTCATCTGAGACAGGGTGGAGCCAGCCTCACCAGGTTCTACCCACTTTCTTATTCTAGGCCCCCTCCCTGTCACCTACTCCAGTGCTTCTCAAACTATCTGATGTGGCAGACCGGCAATTTTTTTTCCAGCGGACCAGGGACCGGTGCCCAGTTCAGCCGGTGGCAGCAACTGTGTGTAACAGTGCTACACAAATGCGCGACTGGCTGTTTCTTTCTCTTTCCTCACCTCACACAACGTGACGTCACCTGGAGTGTTGGAACGTACAAACTGTGGCGCTATGACATATCAATGTTATGCTTCTGAAAATATATTTCTTTCTTTCCTGGCAACTCGCTGCAAACCGACACCAGTCTGTGGACCACCACTTTGAGAAGCACTGACCTAGTCCACCCACCACGTGTCACCTCCCAACTCCCACACTTGCCTGTCATCCCAGCCCCACCCACTCCATGGCCTCATCCCGTTAGTCATCTACTAGCCCCACCCCTGCCTCCTATTCCTACCCACTCCCTGATCTCACCTGCCAGTCATCTCCCAGCCCCACCCACCTGGCATCAATTACCAGCACCATCCCTTGCATCTAGCCCCACCCACTCCCTGGGCAAGTCCCCTAGTCCCACCCATTTCCTGGTCCCGCCCTCTTGTCCCCAAGCTCCTCCCCACATCCTCTAGCCCCATCCACCTCCAACCCACACCCCTGCTAGTCAACCCCCCAACCCCCTCCCCAACAGGGTCAAGCCAATAAACTGAGCAGAAGTACCTATTGCCCCTCCCCGTTACTCACCCTCCAAGACCCGCCCGTCATCAGTGCGACAGACACAGGCTCCACCTCCCAGCACGTCCTCTACCACCATCTACAGAGAAGTGGAAAGAGACATGGGCAGGGGAAGGGCTGTCTCCCCCTCCAAGGGAGGGTTAAGAGACAGGGCTAAGGGATAAGAGAAGGGGGCGTTTACCTTTGTGTTGTAGTATTTGCCTCCCTTGTAGGCATGATCGATACATCGGACCCGCAGATCCCGGCGTAGCCAGCAGGGAGTGCCATCACTCCGGGCCTGCTTGGCTAGCCTGCAGAGGAAGGAGCAGAGTCATCAGTCAGGGGGTGGGGTCTGGACCCATGTCTGAGTTTGCTGCTGGCCCATTCTCACCCAGAGATGGTTGCATCTCAACCCTCTCCGTGGGGTGTTACTCTCAGATGTTCAGCCCCGAACTGAACCCATTTCATTCTTCTTTGCAGGTCATTATACTCAGCTGCCCCACCCTAGAGCTGGCTCCATCTAAGCCTTCTCCACAGTATATTCTACTCAGCCATTCCTCCCCAGAATTGGATGCATGTCAGCCCTCTCTGTGAGGTGTTATACTAAGCCATTCCATCCCAGAGTTGGCTGCATCTCAGTCTTCTCTGTATGGTTTTAAACTCAGTTCTTCCACCCCAGAAATGGCCACATCTTACCTTCCTTTCTGGGGATTATACTGAGCTGCTCCACCCCAAAGCTACATCCCCGTCTTTTCTATATGGCGTTAGAATCAGCAATTCTGCACCAGAAATGGCCACACCTCATGTCCTCTCTCTAGACTGTTATAGTCAGCCATTTGGCTCCAGAACTGGGCCCATTTCAGCCCTCTGTGCAGGGCATTATACTCAGCTGCCCCACCCCAGAGCTGGCTGCATCTAAGCCTTCTCCACATGGCGATATACTCAGCCTTTTCTCCCCAGAACTGCCTGCAACTCAGTCCCCTCTATAGTGTTATAGAGCTGGCCTTGTTGCCAGACCCAATCCATACCTCTGCAGCTCCACCCCCTGCTTCCTCTTCTGCCCAGGCTCCTCCTTCCTATGCTGGGGGAGCCCAGCATTTGGGTGGGTAGTGAGCCCATTCCTTTGCTGCTCCTCTTCCTCTTTGTGGGCTTTGCTGAGACAACCTGGTGAGATTTTGGGGGGTATTAGAAAGCTGGGGGTGGGGTGGGGTGGGGTGGGGTGAAGCCAGCTGGAAAGAGGGGGAGTCACATGACTCACTGAGGTCCTTGCCCAGTCGCTTGTACTCCTTCCAGGTCACAGATTGCAGGCTGTGCTGGCTAAGGGTCACTGTCTGGCCCCCCAGTGCCAGCTTCACCATTGCTCTGGCATTATCGGGGTCCAGCCCCTCGATCTGGGGTCATAGGAGGAAGCACAGGTGAGACTGGGAAGGGTCTTTCCTCAAGCACCCAGAGAACCCAGGTGTCTGGGCTCCCAGCCCCTTTAGCTCCCATTTTCATCAGCCAAATGTTGCCTGCCCAGAGAACCCAGGCATTAGGGTTACCAGTCCTTCAGCAAATTCCTCTGCTAAGACTGGGGTAGAACCCAGGTGTCTGGGCTGCCAACCTCACCCTGCTCCAAGCCACCAGGTGTCTGGGCTCCTGGGCCCTCCTAGCAGCCCCTGTTTCTCTCCCAGAGCCAGATGGAACCCAGACATCTGGGCTCAGCCCCCCAGCCCTGGAACAGGGAAAGAACCCAGGCTCCCATTCAACCATTAATCCCCCTTCCCTCCAGCCAGAATGGAACTCAGGTGTCCAATCTCCAGCCTACCCCCTTCCCCCAAACTGGGATAGAAAAAAAGTGCCCAGGTCCCAGCCAACCCCTTCCCTCCAGCCAGGATGGAACCCAGGCATCTAGGCCCCTAGCTGCCCATCCTGGCTGGGTGGGAGGAATGGAAACCAGACATCTGGGTTCCCAGGCCCAGCCCCCCCCCCCCCCCCCCACACACACACACACACACTTCCCCACACCTAGGATGGAACCCAGACATCCAGGTGCCCAGCCCCACTTACTCTTCCCCCAAAGACAGGACAGAACCCAGGTCCCAGTCAACCCCACCTGGGTTCTGTCCTGGGGTAGAACACAGCATCTGGGTGGACACTCACCTTGCCATACAGGCCCTGATGAGGGCCAGCCTGGATGAGAACGCTGCCCCTTGCTGCCAGCCCCAGGGGCTCCTCCCCATTCCCCTCCTCAGGGGGCTCTATGCCCAGTGGAGAGAATGGCAGGGGGGCCTGGGCAGCCCCCAGGCCCAGTCCCTTGGGACGCAACTCATGTTCTAGTGGCTTCACAGCCCTGAGGGAAGGATGGGACAAGAAGGGATTACGTGGCACCCCTAGTGCCTCCCATGGTACTGACCCCTGTGCACTCCTCCCCCACACCATGACCTCTGATCCCACCCAGACAGTTCCCCTGAACTTCAACCCCAGAAGCAGAAAGAAGATTCTACGCATCGTCCCTTTCTGACCTTCTCCCCAGGGTCACTTCTGGACCTCGGAAAGTGGTTGTACCCAAAATTCTCTCTGGCGTCCCCCAGTTGGACCTCTGATGTCACAGGGCAGCCTCTGACCATACTCACAATCCTCTCTACCATATCCCACCTTGATCTCTGATTGTACCCACAACCCTCCAACACCATGCTGTACCCCTCGTTGCCCTGCTCCCTCCCCTCTGACCCTTGACCTTCCCAACTGCCATGACCTTTGCCCCCAGGGTCACTCACTGCTTGAAGGTATGGCCGATGCCCTCGCCCTCCTTCCAACCCATCCCCCGCAGCATGGCCAGACCATAGGCCTCCACTGGCACCTCTTCATAGTCTGCCTCTGTGGCCTGGGGGGCAAAAGGGATACATCAGGCCACTGGGGTGGGGATACTGTGGGGAGGAGGGAGTTCTCTGGGAGCTGGGGCCCAGAAGCGCAAGCTCTCCCCCTGCATGAGGCAGCTGGAGGCAAGGAGTGTGAGGGATGCGAGGCCAGCTGGGCCTGAGGGAGGGGGAAAGGGAGAGGTCAGAGTTGGACACCTGGGTTCTCTGAGAGGGAAGTGGGAGCCAGGGAGGGTAGTCAGGGAGAGTCTAGGAGCCTGGACACCTGGGTTCTCTGGAAGTGGAGTTAGAGCAGGGAGCAGTGTCAGAAACCTAGACATGTGGATTCTGCCCCTACGTGGGTCACCTGGGCCCAACAGGGGCAGAGAGGGGGGAATATTGGGCCAGCTGAGCTGGGGGGCAGGAAGGGATCAGAGCCAAACACCTGGGTTCTCTAGAAGTGGAGTAACGGCTGGATGGGGTTACAGCAGGGGGACCTCAGTTCCCTGACACCTGGGTTCTTTAGATTGGGAGTGGGAACTGGGAGTTCATGAGCTGGGATACCTGGGTTCTGCCCCTGCATGGGCCAGCTGGGGGCAGGAGGTGGGTGGGGGAAATACAGAGCTGAACCTGGAGATTCCCTTACCGACTCAGGGCGCAGACTGACGTCCACGTGATCGCTGTCCTCGTAGCCACTAAGTACCCTGTTCTGGACTAGCATGGGAATGGTTCGAGCCAGGGAAGCCTCAGCACCAGCCTCCCAAACTTCCAGCGCCCGCTGCGACTCTGCAAGGTACAGGGGAAGTATCAGAGCTAGATGCATGGATTCTTTGGGAGGGAGATGGAGCTAGGCATTTAGAGCAGGGAAGACTGGGAACCCAGGTATCTGAGTTCTCTGGAAGGAGTGGGGGCTGGGAACCTGGACACATGAGTTCTCCCCCAGCTCTGGCAGGGCATCTGGGGTGGTGGGGAGTCTGGACATTTGGGTTCTGCTTTTGAGTGGGCCAATGCAAGGGAAGCCTTTAGTTGACAAAATTAGCACTTTTTGGGGGGAAGCGGGAGGGTGAAGGGGCCACATCTAGCACCCTGGACACCTGGGTTCTCCCCCATTTCTGGTAATTAGAATGAACAAATACAGAATAAGAAAAAGCATGAAGGGGTGGGGAGCCTGTATGTGTGGGTTCTCTTTCTGCTCAAGCATCAGGCTGGGAATGATGGGGAGCCCAGACACCTGGGTTCCCGATGCCCACTCACCCTCAATGATCTCCCGAATGGCCTGACCCTCAACCCTGTCCCTGCCAACAGGGTCTGGAGAAGCCTCGCCCGCTGGCCGCTTCCACTGGTTCGCCCGGATCAGGGGAATGACAAGTGCTGAGGGGGGCCGTGGGGCCAGGCAGACACTGTGGGGAGACAGCTTTCTGATGCCCCACCCCTCACAGCCTGAGGCCCCAGCCCTTTCTCTGCACATGCCCCCATCTCCACTACACTTGATCAGAGCCTTCAAGAGGCCGAGAAGAGATTTAACCATGCTCCTTTCCACTTCCTAGGCCCTGCCCCCTCCATCAAGATCCCCTCCCCAGTAGCCACACCTCAATGCCCCACAACCTCCCCAGATGATCACGCCCCAAAACCCTATAACCCCACAGAGGCCGACCCCCTCATCCATTGACCAGCCCCTTATCTTAATTCCAACCCCTGCTCTCTGGGGCCACGCCCCTTCCCCAACCCACGCCTCCAGCCTGCCCCTCTTCCTTACCCCGCCCCCTGCCCTAAGTGTACACGCCCTTTCGCCTCTGCAGGCATGCACTGTACGCACCATGGCTCAGATGCGCAGTGCACACCTACTTTTTCCTCGGTGCACGCGTTCTGATCTAACCCCTCTGCGAGGCAAGCACGCGGGGCAACCTAAGCTTCCACATTAAGCATGCTTCCAAAGACACCCAGCCTCTTCTCCTTCCTCCCGTGTTCATGCTCAATACAGCTCGCGCATGCGCCATTCCGCTTCTCTACCCCGCCCCCAGGGGTACCTCTGGAGCTCCCGGTCCTCCATAGCGCGCACGAAGTCTGGTTCCGGCACGTGTTCGGTGGCGTCAGGCTCCGCGCAGGGTCCCGACCCGGGACCGGGCAGCCGCCTCCGTCCAGCGGCGGTGCGTGTAAACCCGAACGACACTGGTCCCGCTCCGCCAGCCGCCGGCGCCGCCATCTTGCCGCACCCGCAGTCGCCGCCGCAGGACATCATGGGAGTCGTAGTCTCATCCTCGGAGCTGGCCCTAACTGGACGCAGTAAGGTTTCATGGGAATTGTAGTCCTCTCAGAGCCACGGCCCTCCAGTCGCGCCCGGAAACGCCACCGAAAAGTATCATGAGCGCGGTACAGCCGACTCACAGCGGCCATCATTGCCTCGCCTGGGGTTTGCGGTACACGGAATCATGGGTGTTGGAGTCCCCCTCTACTAACAGGCATTTCGAAGAGACAGGAAGGGTTGCCTGAATCTCCCATCATGCTCTGGGATCTTTGACGTAACATTGACAGCATGCATTGGGGCTCCAGGCTAGAGTTACCAGCATGCACTGGAGTAGCCTACAGGTCCCAACCTGCCCTGAGAACTGCTCCCCCACCCCTCCAGCTTTGGGGAAGGGGAGCTGGGAGAGGGCTAGGGAGAGAACCCAGGTGTCCTAGCTCCCAGACCCATTTTGTTTAGCCACCAGACCACCCTCCGCCCCTCACTTCCTTTCATTTTGGGATGAGCACAGATTAGCTGCCCTGCCACCTAAGTATCCATCCCTCCGAAAAACTCCACCCTCCCTAGCAGCCTAGCCACAGGGAGCAAGAGGACAGTTACCTGGGCAGCGGCCCTGTTGCCTTGGCAACCCCCCCACCCCACCACCTGCAGCCTGGGTACCCAGCAGGGGATGGAGATGGAGGGCTTTTGCACAGGGCTGATCCCAAGGCTTCCCCCCCACCACCAACACTGGCCTATGGCAGATGGGATAGGATAACCTGCTGGTTGGACTTGGATTGTCAAAGTTGGGGGGCTGCAAATTGGGAGTGATGGAAGGGGCTGTGGGTCAGGAGTGAGGAGCACTGTGGGAAGGGTGGCCTCACCAGAGCTGGGGGCAGGGCTGTAGGGGGTAAAACGCGGCTTGCTTATGCTCTTCACCCCAGATCTGGCTGTATCTGAACACTTTTTTTTCTCCTTCCACTCTAAAGGCCTACAGGGACTCCCAAGAAGACTCCCCCACCCAACACTCATCTTGGGGCTCTAACAGAAGGCCCCCAATTGCACCATGGGGGGTCCCAGACCTCAGCCCCATAACTGGGGCTCAGAGAGGGGTGAGGCCTATGGAATCAGGTGAGTCACTGAGGGGCAGGTGTCACAGGGCAGGAGTGATGGGCACCCCAGGGCTATGGTGCAGAGGTTCCAGGACAGGAATGGGAGGCACCATAGAGCTTATGTGCGGGGCTGCAGATTGGGAGGGAGGAGAACTTTTATCTACCTCTTCTCCACAGCTGCAGCACCCCGTGGAGCCCCCCAGAGGTCAGAGTTCCCATGGCAGGGTCGATCACAACTACAGGAGGTAAGTGTAGGGGACCAGGAGTGGCAGCAGGGGACATCATGTGGGGCTCTGATAACCTGGAGCAATGGATGACACTCTGGGACTATAGTCCCCCTCCAGATCACTAGGAGGTGACATGCAGAGCTGTATCTCCCTCTTTAGGCTATTAGGGGATGCCGCATGGAGCTGTATTTTCTCCCCAGGCCATTAGGGGTTGCCATAGATCTCTCTATCCAGGCCATGGGGGAAGCTGTGTGGGGCTATATCTTCTCTTCTAAGCCACTAGGGCAGTGCTTCCCAAACTTTTCCTCAGCATGACCCCATTTCCTCATCATGGCCCCTCACTCTCAACTCACAGCACACACCCCCCTTGGGTGCCCCTCAATCCTGACCCACAGCTCCCTGGCTTTGCTGGTGCTCCTCATTCCCCATCTGCAGCCCCCCACTCTCCCCAGGTGCCCCAGGGACAGTGCCCTCACCTTAGCAGTGCCTGAGTTCTGTCTACCACCTGAAGGAAGCAGCAGCTGCTAAGGCCAGAGCGTGAAGCCCGGCTCCCTGCCCTCCATCCCTGTCCCCGACCCCACAGGTGGTACAGCCAGAGTAGAGCCCATGGGGGTGGGAAGATGTGGGCTGCAGCTTGGGACTCGCTGCCCTGCTGCCTTTCCCCCAGGCCTCTGCAGCCCGGCAGGCAGGACCTGGGAGAGAATGCCACGCTGCAACCCCATCTACTGATGTTGCGACCCTATTTGGGATCACAACTCACAGTTTGGGATCTGCTGAAGTAGGGAGTGCTGTATAGGCCTGTATCTCCCCCTCCAGGCCACTGGAGGATGCTGTACATGGCCAGATTCTTCCCTCACCCCCTCCAATGTTCAGAGCTGCATTTTGCCTCCAGGCCACTAGGGGATACTGTGCAGTGTTGCATCTCCCCCACTGTGGCATTCAAGGGTACAATATAGGGTTGTATCTCCCCTTCCAGGCCACTTAGGTGGGGTGCTATGTAGGGCTGTATCTCCCCTCTGGGGCATCAGGGTGCACCATTTAGGGCTGCATTTCCCTCTTCAGGCAGTTCCAGCTACAGCTCGGGGGCGTGTGGGACTAAATATACTTCCCAGGTCACTTGGGGATGCTGTACAGGGCCATGGTTCTCCCCCCAGGGAAACTGGGGGGGGGGTGTTGGCAGCTATGTCTCATTAACACCTGGCTCTCCACCCTGCAGTGAATGTGGTGGTGGTGGTAGTGGACGGGAGCTGGGTGCTGCAATACAGCCACCAAGGGGTGCTCCACCCACCTTCCCTATTAGCCTGCTGCCCCCACCCCTGCCTGGGGGGCAGGACCACAAGCAAGGAGGTGGGGGAGGGGGTTAGCACCTGCCACTGCCCCTGCCCCACCACTCCCCAGGGGTCACTGGCATCAGGGCAGGGGGCACTCAGGGGGGACAGATCTGGGACCTCCAGTGCTGCCCCCTGCTGGGCAAGGCAAATGAGACTGGCAGTGGCCTGCTGTTCATTCAGTGCCCAGGTCAGGAGCTGGGGGCAATGAGGGAGGGTAATAGGTGCGGGGGCATAGGGATAAGGGGTGAGGAGTGTGGGGGCTGTGATCAGGGCATAGGGATGGGTCTAAAGCTAGTGGCAGGGAATGGGGGTGAGGGAGGAGATTCAGGGGGCTAAGGGTTGGGGGAAAGTTTAAGATTAAGGGATGGGGCATTGGGTGATGAAGGATGAGGAGAGACTAAAGTAAGGGGAAGGGTATTTGGTTAGAGGAAGAGCTAAGGCTAGGGGAGGGGCACGGGGGAAGCTAAGGTTGGGGGAGGGGCAGTGGGGTGGGGAAGGGACTAAGCCTGGGGCCAGGGCATGGGGTTTGATGGAGGAGTTAAAACTAAGGAAAATGCATGGGAGTAGGGCTAAGAGGGCGAGGGTATTGGGGTAGGGAGTGGGAGAGGGTCATGTGGGTGTGGGAGGACTGTGGGGTGGGGCTAAGGCTGTAGGGGAGGGGCAAAGAGTGGAGCTAAAGCTGGGCAGGGACAGGCCCTAGAGCAGGAGAGGGGCAAGATGGCTGTAGAGGTATCTCTGAGGGTCCGTTACTCCACTAACCCCTACTTTCTCCCCCAGGCCCCAGGAACCTGCCACCATGGTCAGCTGCTGGCCCCCTCTGCCTGGGCTCAGGGGGTGCTGAGGAACTTGCTGTGACCAGCTTTGTGGGGCCTGAACCCCAGGACATCCCGCTTAGTACCCTCTGCAGGCCTTACCCCCCAGGGGGCACTGGTGTGGCAACCAGGCCCTGCCCCCGCACTGGTGAGTGGGAGCAGGGGTTGTCTGGTGCCTAAGGGGTTAACTCCTCACCCCTAGCTGTTATCAGCTGCTGCCTGGCACCACCTGTCTGCCCCTGGGTCCCTTTAGCCAAGGTCAGTCTGTTTGGCTTGGTTTTAGGAGGGACTCACAGCCACTCAGGGCCTAATAGCTCCTGCCCCTCTGAACACCACCATGGTTGCCTGTACCTAAGCTTTGCTATGGGGCTGGACATGTAATTATTTCTAGAGGCCTGGAGGGAGCAGATATTGAGTAAGGGTGGGACTGGGGTTTTGGGGAGGGGTTCCTGACGGGGTGGGGCAGGCACCCCCAGCATGCTGGGCGTGGTATGAAGGTGGGAAAGGAGCATGTTGGGGTACACATACACACCCCCATGATGGGGTGTGCACACAAACACCCACACACCACCTTATTCTTCCCTCCCCACCACAGGCTCCTCCACCAGTGACTTGGATGGGCCTGATACTGATGTGAGGCCTAAGATTGGGGGTTCCCACCCCCTACAACCCCAGGTACTGGAGGGAGTGGGGATATTGATGGAGGAGGGGGGACATGGAATGGGCAGGGATCAGGGAAGGGAATGGGGGGTTTGTCTGGGTAGTGTAGGGGAAGTGGGGAAGGTGGGGTGGAGTATCCCTTTGACCCTGCCTCTCTCCCCCTGCAGATGCTAGCGCCTCCCCCTTTCTTGGTGGAACTGGCACCGGGCCCCCGAGGCTTTGGGCTGAGCCTATGTGGGGGCCATGACCGCGGCTGTGGCCTCTACATCTGTGCGCTACTGGAGTGGGGGCCAGCCCAGCACTGTGGATGCATCCAGGCAGTGTTCTCCCACACCCAGGGATCAAATCCCAGGGATCACCCCCCCCCACATACAGCCATTGGAGATGATACAGCACATTGGGACCGTTCTATACGCTTATAAGAGATGGTACAACCCATACAGGCTCCTTTGTATACTGAGGGGTGATGGTACATACAACCCATAGGGCTCCTTACACCTAGAGGAGATGGTGCAGCCTGTATGGGCCTCCTATACACCTGGGGGAGATGGTACTGCCTAACCGAACTCTTCCTATGCATTCAAAGGAAACGCAACAGCCCACAGGGTGTTGCCCCCCCCATACACCCAGGAGAGATGGTACAGCCCATATCCCCCCACTGCACCTAGAGGAGATGGAACAGTCCACAGGAACCCTGCTGTACACATAAGAAAGGTGGTACAACCCATAGGGTGTCGTCCCCCCCATTACCCTTAGGGAAGATGGTACAGCTCATAGGGACCCCCATATAACCAGATGAGATGGTACAACCCACAAGGGCCTTTTCCATAGGTAGGAAGGCGTGTA